GATGTTTCCGCGGGTCGCGGAGCATTCGATGCGAACCGACAGCTTCCTCTCTCTCTCTCTCTCTCTCTCTCCGACACGGTTATGATCGTTGGCAACGATAGCTATCGTTGAGCCAGACGGTACCAATCGAGCATGAAAATATCATAAAGACGGATCCGGCGTGCGGCTCGCGCGCGAAGTCGTCGTTACGCCGCCGATTCGACGCTATAAAAGTCAGGCGAGGCCGTTTGCGCCCGTTCAACCGCGATCCCTTGCTCGGAATGGTATTCCCGGCGATATCGTCGAGTTCGAATTCGAATTCCGATTCATAGGGATTCATCCGCGCCGGTTGACCGTTCGTTCGCGGACGATTAAAACGCGATAGACGCGTGTCGTTCGCCGAAGATTTATGAAAATACTTGGTCAGGCTGTCGTGTCGCGGTGATCAACGACACGACACAGAGCTGGAACTTTCGGATGAGTTCGGACTGAAAGTTCGACGGGAAACTTGTCGCGGTGCGACGTCCGTCGCGGAGCTCTCCCTTTTTTTCTCGGTGACTTCGGTAACTTCTGTTCAATCTTCCTCGTAGCACGTGTGTCGGCCGACTCTAATGGAAAAGAAGACCCTGCAGGTCCCGCGTCTTCCACGCACTCCGCTCGCCCGATCCCGCCGCGTCCCTACGGAGAGGAACAACGACGACGGGGGCAGAATTTATTCGCCGTCGGCGGAACTTCGCCGCTCGTTTTAAGAAGCAACGAAGTTTACGCCGTTTAATTAAGCCGTTTAGCGGGGACGAAGCGAGCGGCACGCGAGCATTCCCCGTTGATTTTCGAGGTCTCGCCGTGCGTTGCATAACCGGTCCCTGTTTGGCTTGATTTAGTAAAGATGAGGATTCCGACGGAACAACTTGCCCTGTAATCTCATCGTAACTTAGCTAGTGGCAACGCTGACTTTGGTCATTTCAATCTTGTCTACTGAATCATTCAGCGGCTTTATTTGAGTTTCGAACTACGATCGCTGTTCTCCGTTCGTTAATATCCCTTCTCGATGGCTAACGTTAATACTTGGAACAATTCATTCGAACAAATATTTCTAACTTTGCACACGACTTTCAGGGCAATCAGCGAAACAGGAGACGACGGGGCATAGCTTAATGCAAACTCTCTAAACTTCTATCCTACTTCTACCGTTCAATGTCTTCATCGTGAATTTCCGTTTACGGCTTCCGAGGAAATAGGCCACGGCTTCACGTAAAGTCCTTAAACGCGTGCCGAGATTTTTTTGAACGAAGCGATTCGATAATTCGCCTATAATAATCGAGCAGTCCACACCGTAGCGTCTAACATTCAATAACATAGTTTGCAACGTATTATTCAACTACTCCAATATCGTAGTTTAAGTCAATTGTACAGTCCGCTAAAGACCGTTATATCATTGAAACATCCTTAACACCTTGGCCGGTAATAAGGAACGTTTGCGCACCGAACAGCTAATTCTCCAACTACGCCTCGGGTTCGTGTATAACCGTTTCATAAAATATTATAGAACGTTCCCTCAAGACGGTATTTATTCGAGCATCCAGCTAACTCAATGTTTGCACAGCAACGAATCGTCTTGGTCGTAGCAGCGAGGAGCAATCGTCGATTCCGGTCGATAACGAATACATTAAATGAGTTTCAAATGCGACACGAGCCACGGTTCGCCATTAGCACGCGGCTGGACGCTTCGACCGGCACCTCGGCTCTTTGAGGGTTAATTGCGGACGTGTTGCGGAATTCCATTAATCGAAACGGCTTTCGGGGCTCCTCTGGTATTTAAACGACACGCGGACACGCGCGCCTTATTCGCCGCTGATCGATGCTCGCTAACCGGTCGCGTTCGTGTCCGGTGGCGCGGAAGCGTCGCCTAAATAAGTTATCGAATCGAATAGTCGAATCAAACGCCCATTCTCCTCGAGCCGGGACGCGGGGGCGCGTCGCTCCGGCCGGTGCATAGTTAACGCGATCCGAATTGTCCGACCGCGGGGAGATCTTAACGTGACGGGGGTGCCGCCGTTAATTTAGCGGTCGTTTGGCTAAACCGAGCTGTTTTCTAGTTAATTCCGAGGAAACGGAAGCGGTCGCGGCGGCGACGACGCAACGGCTCGCCGGTAGCGGCACAGGGCTAATCTGATTACCCGGGTTCCGAGAGGAGAAGCGAGCCGCGGCCGGCTCGCGCCGCGGCGGGTTATGAAAAATGCCAGGCGCGACGGCAAAAAGTAAAGCATTAAATCGCTGGCGGAACCCACAAAATACCGGCATGAAATTATAACGAATCTAGGAAAGACCTAGCCGCGGGAGTGGTTCTTGTTGCTCCGCGGGCGGAAAGTAAGAACCGTTGCTGTTACAAGCTTCCAACAGCGGTGGCATCAGCCCAAGGAGGAAGTAGCTGCTTGTTGCGCGTCGCTCGAGCCCGTTACGACACGGAAAAACCAGCAATTCAAATGAGCGCGCCGTTAGCGCGCCGCGTTTATATGATAAAGAGGACGCCTTAAACGATATTTACGGCCGGCGCGGTCGGTTCAGCCGCGAAAATAAATACGGAGCGTATGCTAATCCTTCCGCTTGTCTTTTCCTCGTCGCTCGACGATAGCGAGGCGACCGGGTTTCCCGATGGTCGCAGCGAATCTCGGCGTCGCTCGACGTTTTCGTGGTCCGTGAAAGAACATTTTCCGCGTTCCTCGCGCGCTTGCCACGCTCGATAAACAACCAGGGGGGGTCGCGGGCGAACGCCGGCGAGAGACCGAGAGGGAAAATTATACGGCCACGACAAATCAGATTCGACGGTCCGGGACCCGGGAGCCTTGTTTCCTTCGGTCCGGATAGGACGTCGACGAAAAAGTCTAGTCGGGGCGAGGCTGGACGAGGCTCTCGAGGCGGACGACGGCGCGTCGCTCTTGCTACTCGCAGCTACGATTCCTGTTTCGGTCGTCCACCGTGGAGGAAACGAAACCGGCGGACCGAATCGAATGGAAACTCGTTTCTCCGAAATAGCCTACCGGAAATTCTCAAAGGAATTGCCCTTTCCGTGCGATATCAAACCCTCGAGCTTTCCACTTACCCGCTCGGGGATCGTCTTCCGCGAGCACGATGCTGCGGCCGGTTTACGGCAGCCCTCAGGAACCGAATTTCATAAGCGGATCTCTTAATCCCGAGCCGAGTGCGCTTTACATATCGCTACGCGGAATCATTCCAGTTCGATTGTGTCCGCATCGGAATATTTGGATTTCCGGCATCGGAGAACTCGCCAACCCCGTGCATACGCGTACCCGCCTGGAACGTTACGTATTTCGGACGTACTCGCCGCCTGCTCTCCGTATACCCACCGAGAGAAATATTGTTCCGGGTTCGTCGGCGAACGATTCGTTTAACCCTTCGCGAGGATTTTGAAGATCGAAAACCTTTGCCCGAGAAAATTTAAGGAGCCGAGTATTAATCTTCGGTCGTTCGAATAATCGACTCGATCGCTTCCGAGTTTGTATTTTAGTTACAGACACGCGATCATCCCGACAAGATTTTCCTGTAACAATGATCGTTTGCTTGCAGTTCCACTGGTGAATGTCAGCGTCGTAGAAGGAAAGCCCGCGGAACTGCCATGCGACATCACTCCACCCGGAGAGGACACCCTGCATATGGTTTTCTGGTTCAAGGACGAGGCTGGAGTACCCCTGTACACGTGAGTAATCCGAGTGTCTCTCTTTTGGTCGCGAGACCTTCCCCGACTCGACGATCCGGGCAGCGGAATTCTCGCCAGGAGCGGCTAATTAATTCATTAATGCGAGAAGAACGGGTTTCGAGGTATTCGCTGGAACCGTCAAGGATCGCGACACAGGAATCCGTTGGTTGTTGTCCGCGTCTTGCCGAACCTGGGCGTGTTCGATAGGAAGTGTGCAGGGTTCGGCGAAAAAATTCGTGGCTTGCCTGGAATCCGTATCTCTGTCGGCTAATATGCAGTAAACCGCGATGCGGCGCGGAGAATCGCGCGCTCTTTCCAGTTACATCTCTGGCGCAACACGACTCCGGATACAGCGTCCGTTCCGCGATATTAAACGTACGTCACTGCTCGTTGCTAGGTTGCCCCTTGCCACTCGAACTCGAAATTCCTTTCTGCATTCCGTTTCGCAGACGCGGTTCGCGATGTTCACCTGTTTCCGAGTTGGCCGCAATAACAGCCGCGCGCGGCCGGCCCTCATAAAGGGATTCTCCCGGCCGGAGATCCGTTCTTTTCACCCTTCCGCGAACAGAATTTCCCGGGCAGGTTTCCGCCGGCGAATCACCGGCGTGCGCTGCGCCCGATGCCTCTCGACCCTCGGCTCTCGCCCGATCGGAGCGCTTATTAATCGAGCCCGTTTCCCGCGAGGAAGCTCCTCTCAGACGCGCGGCGAACTTTTAATTGATAATTATTTCGCCCCATCGCGTCCCTATAATTCCCTTTAACGAACCTGAAAATCAGCCGTCTCGATTTAAACGGCGCGGCGCGCGGTTCCGTGGGATTTTTCGATCGATCGGCGAAAGAAACAACGACCGTCGGACGGTAACAATAGGACAGAGCGAAGGCTGAAAAGTTTCTCTTTCGAAATACAATCGAACGCGGCGGAGCAGGAGTCCCCTTAATTGACAATTATCTCGGCCGATTACTCGTTATGATTTTCCCCCGGAGTACACGTCGGCCGGAGGTCGCCGAGGATTCGATTTAAATTGGACTCGGTGGCTTTCGCGCGATAATTTCTCTCGCGCCGTTGCAATTAAAACCGGCTGTCTTTCTACCGGCGGTGGAACGGCGGGAGAGCGCGGGCAAGATAGTCGGATGGGCGCGGCGAGAGGCTGCGGGTGAACACCGAGCCCCTCGAGCCTCGAAGCACCGCAAATTCCAGAT